TCTTTCCTCCCTATGCAGGGGGTCAGACTTGATGATCTATTGAGGTCCCTTCCGACCCTAACATCTATGAATCTATGGAGGCTGCCCCAGGGCTTCCTGGATCTGGTCTTTGCTCTCAAACACCTGGAGTGGGAAGCTCCTGCCTTAAGGGCTACTTGCACAGCTCTATAACCCCCCCCTTTACTCAATACCACGCCCATGCTTTCCAGGTGTTAAATGCATATTGTTCCCTCTGTTAGAGTTTCAGCAGATTCGGCTTCCACCCCCTTTTTATGTAGCTAAGCCATCTAGCTTAGACCCACTGTTTTGGGTCCAGCTTTGAGGCGCTAGCTTCAATCAGTCTTACTTCCGTCTCTGGGCCTCCAGCCCTTTGTAGCTGCGCCTCTATGGCGCTGGGCTCTCTAACCCTGTAGCTGTGCCCCTCTGGGTACTAATGAAGTCTCCACCCCCCCACACCCCCCCCATAGCCTTATCCTCAAAGCACTGGTTTAAACTACAACATAAACACTAAGCTCCTGGGCTATAACAAAGAACTAATAGACAGAGTTAGTCTGCTTACCCATGGCTCCACATCTCTGGGTCACTCTGCCTGGTGCTCTCATTTGCAGGGCTGCTTCCCAGTTTCCTGGAGCCTTCAGGAACCCACACTCCGCCACAGCCTGGGCTGGCCACCCTCAGCTAGCTCAGTCCAGGGCTTATATAGCTCTGGCCTGAGCTCTCACATAGTCATGTGACAGCCCTAGTCAGCTGATCGGCCTGTGGGGCTACCCTTTAACCCTTGCTCTGCTGGCAGGCTGCACTCTGAAGACTCTGGCCTTAAAGGGGCCACTCTGCTTCCTAGTAACAGGGCTAGGGTTCCCTGTTACAAACCCCTATGCTTTATTACAAGTTTCCTCCCTGTAGTACGACTGGGCAAGTGGTTCCTTCAGATGTTACAACAGCGATCTTTGGTGGTACCAACCTCAGATCCTCTACTGGGTATGTGGGATGTTAGTTTCTGGAATCCCCGTTGTTCAATAAGAATTCCAAGGTTGGCAGGATGGCAACACAAAACCTTTGTTTGTCCATGTGGCAGTGCACCTTTGGTGCCTGCCAGTTTAAGGGCTGTAGGCAGGCAGCTGGCAGGTGCTTGGTTAGGGGGGCCATTTTAGGACCCAGCACACACAGGCTGGGGCAGCAACTAGCAGTCGAGGGAGTAACATCAGCCAGCTCCTGGAACAACTTGGAGGTAAGGGAAGGAGCTATGGGGATGGCTGGAGACTCCTGGTCCTGGGCATGACGTGAAACTGCACCCTGCTGGGGAAAGGGGGTGGGTCTCGTGGGACTGTCTGTGGCAGGTCAGCCCCCAAGAAATACCAGACCAGTTACCCCCCAGTGAAAGGTGGGGTGGGGCACCTTAACCCTGGCCCCCACCATATGGTGAGTAATTGTAGAGCACAGTAGGGCCAGGTGCACCTCTAGAGGGGCACCTGAGCCCAGCAGGGTTGTGAGACCGCGGAGGCCCCAAGGGGAGTAGTATTGCTGTGGAGGCCTGCACAGAGTAGGGTGCAGAGAGGCACTTGAAGGACTGTGCTTGTGTGAGGTGCAGAATAGGGATGCTGAGGGCAGTTTGAAGGGCTGCACCAGGGATGTACTGAGTAGGGCTGTGAGGGGCGGCTTGAAGGGCAGTACATGGGCCAGCCCCATGAGTGATATGAAGATTAAGTTGCCCGGTGAGGGGCTAGGGGCAGAGTCAGCCCAATGTTTGGCACAAGGACAAGGCCATGTGCAGTAGGGGAGCTTGAGTGATCCGAAGTTGCTGTGTGTGCTGACCCACAGTGAGAGTAGTGAGGCCTGATGGCTGAGTGGGGTCGCTCAAGGGAGCAGGGCAGTTGAGTGTGGCCCAGTAATGGGCAGAGTGCAAGAGGCCCCTGTGCGAGGGGGGGGCAGAGTGAGTGTGAGTGTGAAAGAGGCCCATCAGTGTACTGAGTCTGTCCTGGCCTGAAGCCGGGGAGTAATAATAATCTGGATGCCATGTACAAGGCATGGGCCACAATATAGGGCAGGTACGGAGCCATGGATAACGTCCCCCTGGCATCAGGGTAGTAAATGGGCAGCCTGTCCCTTAGTATATCAGAGGCACATTCAAGTCGTAGCAAGAGAATCAGGGCAGATAACCCTAGGCAGGTGGATGGGCTAACTCAAGATCTAGCCCCAGGATCCACCACTTTTGTAACTTTCTCACCTCAAATGGTCCAATCCTGAAGTTTCTTACCTTGTCTTTTTAGATAAGGTACTCCAATCATTCCATTTTTG